ACTTATATTCCAACATTTATGTTATTCCAAACATTTATGTTATTAGCTGAGGTTATCATCCCTGAAGCTGGGCATTCCCACCGGTACGTGGACTTTTTCGTAAGGGCTTGAAAACTTGTTTTCTTACATGAAGGAGGAGGCCCTTCCCTCCTTCAGTCAGGTCCACCCTTCTCCTCTGCATTTTATAATCAAACAGAAAAAGAAAGCAAAACCTCCCCCGTTATTTTAGCTCTCACAAGTGGCTGAACTGGTAGCCCAGAGCAGCTCTATCGTCCTCAACATGAACAACATCGGCCCCTCTGAATGCTCTGCACAAGGAATGCGCAGTTTTCATTAGGCTGCCCCTAATGCAGAAAACGTGCATGTTGTGCAGGGTGGGATGGAAACCCGCCGTCCCTGGTGTGTCCACCGGTACAAATTAGTAAATCAGCCTCCTGCCAGAGCAGGCCAGGGGCTGAAAAGGTAAATACCCACTTAGCAAGGCAAAATAAAACCAGCTCTAGAAAGATGCGAGACCTCGAAGGAGGGCTGAAACAGCCCCTTGAAAATAGTGAAGTAATGGGCTTAGAGTTTTATTATTCACATAAAGTTTAGTGACTTCAAAATGAACGTGAAGCCAAACAAGACTTGTTATCCCACTAAAATCTGGGCTGTAACTGAAGCCAGTACCCAGATGTTCTGTGGTAAAATCCGCCGCCTCGCTGCATAAAAGCACCACATACCCTGACGTACAGTCCTGGCTTGCCTTTATCCAAACCTACTTAGATTCTGGATTATTTTTCTAGCAATCTTTTAAACTGCCATGGGAAGCATAAAAGGTGGTCTCTTACAAAACCGTTCGGTACCAGCTTGAAATGTAACCATTTGCAGAAATAAATCAGGATTTCTTTTTAATAAACTGTTTATCACCAGCCTCTTGGGATATAAATTGTAGAAGAAAAAGCAGGGTCTGAGTTTAATAAACATCTTGTCTTTTTATATATATTAAGGTAGAAGACCCTGGCACACTTCAGAGTGAAACATCCAGCAAACAGGCTTAATCCAGCCCTACTGAAGGCACGGGACAGGGAGCAGAAGGCCACAGCATGGCTGGAGCTACCAGGAAGGGGTTTATTCCTTCATTTTCAGGGAACTTCTAAGGTGGGCAAACCTTCTAAGGAGGACGAAGGGGACTCGAAGATGGTGTTTCTGCCCATATGTGCAGTTTGGGTGTACGAGCCAGGATGCTCCAGGGGCAGCTTGGGCTCTTGCCAAGCTGGCCAGGAGCAGCGTGGCACTGAAGGATGCTCAGGACTCCCAAGGTGGAGCTACAGCACCAACTGTGTCCCCAGCCCAGCTCACAGGAGCTGGAGAGGGGTGCTGGAAAAGCCGTGGCAGATGGGCCAGAGCTGCGTGCCGGGAGCTTTAAGCTTCAGATGAACACAGAGTACGTGGTGAAGGCATTCGAGCTGAACAGGGAAGGCAGCACAGGCGTTATGTGATTTTGAACAGCTTGCTTGACAGTTTGCACCATATTGTATTTATAAACATTGGGGGAAACCTAAAAGCTTTTCCTCGGCGTTTCCGAAGTCGCCGTCCACAACAACACAGGCGTGCGGGGCGATCCTGCACAGCTCTGCCTCACCTCTGTGACAGCCTTCTTACAATTAAATAAAGGGGCCCATATTAATCTCTGTGGGATCAGCATCCCGCACAGTGTTCAAATTCCCTCTGAAACTGTGATACGACCACCAAACCCCGACCTCCCCCAGGGTGATCAGGGCGGGAGGTGACCCACTGGCCGGTGACGCCAGCAGCAAGTCACAGGCGTGCCACTGCCTGCCAGGTGTGGCTCACACCAGGGAGCAGCTGGCTCTGCTCGGGGGTGCCACAGAGCGTGGCATGTCCCCACGTGTGTTGTGTCATCTCGCTAGCAGGGCTGCCATGACACGCTGAGGTGCCCACCCTACACAGCAGAAACATCAATGGGGTTTCTGTGCAGGGCCGTGCAGGCACAGAGCGTGACGCGCCCACAATCTCATCACGAAAAGGTGACAAGGCAGAAGGAATTTTTCAGATGTACTACCAAGCCCTTTCAAAATGAAGAGGGGCTCTTTCTGCTGGCACAGAAAGCACACAAGGTATCTCTCTTCTCACCACAGGACAAAACACAGGCACGGGAGCCTGAACACACCCACACAGTCCCCACGCGTGATGCACTGCTGCACATTTCAGCTTCATCACATTTTTAATGGTCAGAGTAGAACATAAAAAGTCCTCTCCTCCTTCAACTATTAACAGGTTTTAAATTCTAGACATTAGGTACTCACAGAAACTTGTAGTGGTACTAGAAAGCTGACTGCAGCAGCTCTCCACTTCCAGGTATGTATGTGTTTAACTACGAGGTAGGAGAGCGGGGCCGGCAGGATGAGGCATTCCCGACAAGGAGCGATCTGAAATGCCATTCCTAAAATAGCTAAGAATCAGCGACTTTCAAACTAGGCTGAGCAGAAATACAAAGTTTTTTCCCCTGCTCCCTCTTACAGCCCAGCCAAGGGTGCTGATGATGTCTAACACCCGAGCGCTATTTTTGCGGAAACCAGGTTATGGACAAGCCAGCAGTGCCTTGCCAGGGTCACTAATGTGATAAATCACTCGCTGTCAACCACCCAGGGAGGAATTCACCCTCCAATCGCTCTCACCTCTTCCAGTTTTACACAGATACAACTCCATCATCTCGACCAAGTACGAAATCAGTGCATCGAGGCTGGAAGCCCATCGTAAGACAGTGCCAGACGGGGCTGCCAGTACTGCCTGACTCTAGGATGCTCCAGTGGAAGCACAGTGCCACACCGGTGTTACTGAATGTCTCCTGACATCTGCTCACAAACAGCCAGCCGGGCCAGGGAGATCCGTGTATTTACGGCAGGGATCCTGCCTCCCCGCTTAGCTCGCCCCATGCAGCTCAGTCAAGCCACCAGAACAGCGATACTGTTTAAGTGCTTTAATTAACGATTGTAACTAGATGCTAACCAGATCCTTTGGCGGGGAGGGAAAATCCAAGGGAAGCTACGAGCTTCACAGTCCTCCCTCCGAAACCAGCCTTGCAGAGGCTGCCTAAGTCCACGTCGATGTCCACCGGGATGATTTCCAGAACAGCCCTGGGCAGCATGGCACAGACAAGATCACGCTCATCCCTGGCACCAAGCTAACCCATCTGAGAAACCAGGGCACATTACTGCTCAAGTGTTAAATACATCCAGAAAAAAATGTCAGAGAATCACAGCTTTTCAAAAATCCGCGCCAGCCTTTAACTGTGAAGGTTTAGATACATAAAAGTTATATCTGCAAGCGATTAAACAACGCTTTGTAGCCATTGTCTCTGCTGTCGAAATAAAAGCAC